ACATAATTCGTAAATATATTCATAATGGGTTAAAATAGATATTTTCTCTGTTATTAAAAATATGATTTAATTTCTGATTACATATATTTTGTGGATTTGCATGCTATGGATTAGAACATGAGAATTATGATAGACATTACATAAGTCATAAAATAAACAAATAATACTTTTTTTATGGGGCAATTACAAAAATGCCACTTTTTGTGTGCATATTTGCAATAATGCCACTTAGGGGTGTCCATTTACAAAAATACCACTAATTATAGATTTATAAAGCCTATATCTTAAAATTATAAACCCTAAAAAATGTTTTGACAACTAAAACTCCCTAAATACTCAAAACTAAACCATAATAGAACATAATTAACCCAAACATAAATAATATAAAGAAAAAATAATTTTGAAAATGTGGCATTTTTGTAAAGATTTCAAAAGTGTGGCATTTTTGTAAAGTGGCACTTGAAAAGTGACATGTTTTGAAATTTCTCTATTTTTATCAACTTAGAGTTATAGAATATCACAAAGAAAATAGAAAATTTGACCTATTACGCCATTGGTATTTGGTATTCTCCAAATGTATTTTAAGTTAAAAAAATAATAATAATATATTATTATGAAGTTAATACTGTATAAAATTTGGCGAGTATAAACTTTTATGAGAAATAAAACGATGACATTAATAAAATACAATTAACAGTCATGTACTTATGTAATGGTTCACAACATTATTTGTAGTTTTTATGAGGAACTAACACGAATTTTACTTTTCCCGATTTAAATAGATAGTATTTTAATTGTTTTTATTTCTATCACAAAATTATAAAATATTCATAATGGATTAAAATATATATTTTTATGTTATTAAGAATATGATTTAAATTCTGATTATATATATTTTTGGATTTGCGTGATTTGGATTAAACATTAGAATTATGATATAAAATAATTTTTACTGGTTATGAAATCTACGTTAAATAGTATTCTAAAATTCAACGAATTACTAATTAAAATTCAAA